GTTGGGGATATTTAATATTCAACAATATTATTGAACTGTGTTGTACTACTTTCATGTTATCACTGTGAAGCTGCTTTGATGCAATCTGTATTGTGAAAAGCGCTATATAAATAAATGTGACTTGACTTGACTTGACATCTGGCATCTCCTTACACTTTTAATAGACATCTGGGTTTACTGAATATTGAGCTGCAATCAGATCAGTCAGGTGGAAAGCAATATGGCTTCTGCAAATTGATTTGGTTCTCAATTAATCATAAGAGCTAATGAAGCAATAACTCTAGCAGGACACAAATGTCATAAATTAAAGTTCTTTAAATGTATTAGCTGGTGAATGCATTTTATTGTGTTTCCTACACAGCACCCCATTATTAAAGCCAAAGTCAGTCATATGGGGTATTTATTTAAACATTATTAATATTACTATAATTGTATTATTATTATTATTTTATTTATTATCAAATATAGTTAGTTAATTATTAAAAAAAAAAATATTTTAGGAGGCAATGTAATGTTGACATTTTTTTTCAAGATTGTAAATTGAACGTAGGCTGGACATATGCAGTTAAAATAATAATAATCGAATACAGATGGAAATTTTGGCATACAGATTTTAATTTATTTAATATGCTAAACAGAATAATATCATGCTGTTGTCACGTATCCAGTCACCACACCAGCTCTGTCACCTCTACCGCACTACACTTCCCAGCATCCCTCAAGTTTCCCACCTGCACTCCATCAGCCATCACCTAATGACATCAGCACCTGCACTTCATCATCAGCAATCCCTATATAAAGAGACACTTCTCCTGCACTCCCTTGTCTGGTCTTGTCATTCCCTCAAAGAACACTTACCTGACTCCTTACCTGCACGATTCCTACCAGAACGATCTGTCTTTAGCCATCTGCTTCCTTCATCTGCCTTCTTCATCTGTCTTTAGTCATCTGCCTTGTTCTCCGTTTCAGAACCTGCAACAGATAGGACCATTACTCATCCAGATATCCATCCTCTGAACACATTCATCAGTTACTCACCTGCTTCCATCGTTGTGATCACTAGTGATGGGCAGATCGAGGCTTCGTGAAGCAATGAAACAGTCGAAGCAAATGTGCCATTTTGTTTCGAGGCTTCGAATCAATCCGAAACCCGTCTCCACGATGACACCTAGTGGTCACTTGCAGGTGTTGATCTGAAACAACCTTTACAAAGAGCTAATAAAAAAATGTGTTGGTTTTTTTTTTTTATTATTGTATTTTTGTAATATATGAAGCTTGTAACCTGTAGTCTCTTCACATTGCATAATGTGATTTTGGTCATGAAAAATGAATATTAATAAAAATAAATCAAGCCACAATGTCTCCCTTTCTTATAGATTTTTATTCAAAAATATTAATTTCTCTGCTGTTGAAGGACTCAGCCTACTTCTTTTTTTACAGATAATTTCTCCAGCCTTTGAAAAAATTCTCTCACAAGGGACACTTGTTGCTGGCATACAAAGATATTTTTTAGCTAGGACATACAAATGAGGAAAGATTAGGCTACTGCTCTCTCTTTCCAGTAAGTTAGAGGATCATGAGTTCTGGGCAAAAACGCATCGCTGAGGTATTTTTTCACTTCCACTGTGGCATCAGCTGTAGGATTGTGTATCATCTGGGTCTCACGGATACGATTGTCAAAATGTTCCCATAAACTGTCTTGTGTTTCAACTGGTGTTGATGATGATGGGCCTGATGTTGACATTTGTGGTTCTGAATTAAAAGAAAACGGCAATTAGTAACAAATCATAAACTGACAACACATATGAAGTATAAATTTCATGAATCACATTACATAAGATAACATAGACTGAAACTCACCAGGAGTTGTGTTTGAACGCATCAGTGAAGCATACTCCAGTGTGATGTGCTTTTCAGCATCCAGGGCTTTGGCAGGATGTCAGTAGCAGGCCTTGGTACAGGGGGAACACTACCATCCTCTGCACCCTGCAGAATGGCAGGATGAATGCTCCTCAAATGGCGCATCATGGATGATGTATTGTTGCAGTAGGCTAGCTGCCGATCACAATACACACATCTCACTTTATTTGGGGTTTCCAAATGGAAATGCTCCCACACCACAGATGTACGGCATCTCTTCTGTGGAGCCTCCATTTCTATCTATCTATCTATCTATCTATCTATCTATCTATCTATCTATCTATCTATCTATCTATCTATCTATCTATCTATCTATCTATCTATCTATCTATCTATCTATCTATCTTATATGTAGCCTATCTATCTAATAATCTATATGTATCTGTAATATATGTATCTATCTATTAATCTATATATATATATATATATATATATATATATATTTCTATCAATGCATCTATTAATGTGTCACTATATGTACTCTGTGTGTCTATAAGTCAATGTGTAAATGTAAATTAAATCCTAAATATAACTAAACAAATCGCACTATAAATGTCACTATATCACCAAAAATCCGCTATCTCACAACCAAACTCCTCTCACAAAAACCCACGATATGAAAATGCGTTGACAAAACTTTTATACTGTGTGATTGTGTGATTTGTTCCCGAACCGACCAATCAATGAAACCCTGATTCGGAGGAGCACTCCACCTGATGAAACACTTAGACGCTTCATTTAGCCGTTGTCACGTGACGTGGGTGTTTTGAATCACGCTTCGGATCAGTGTTTCGAATCATCTTTGCTTCGGGATCTCGCAAAGCTTCGGAACGTCTGTTTCGCGCCAGCCATCCTTAGTGATCACATACTTCTGCAAATAAACCTGTTGATTACTTCACCTGTCTGAATCCTTCTGTTTCATGACAGCTGTGAGGGTGGTAAGTGAAATATTGCACCTTTTTCTTTGTGTTGGTGCAATTAAAACCACCAATGGGAGCAGCATCACAAAGTGTGTGTGAGTAACATTATTCAGTGGTAAGGGGGGAAAAACATCAAGCAAACATATGGTCACAAACACTTCAATGATCTGAATGCAGAGCCAGATGCAAAATAGTTTTACAGAAATTAGTGTTGTGTTTTTTTGTAGGACCATGGTCTATTGAGAACCTAAATGGTCCGTCTATCTAAAATGCTTTATGCAGAGATTCAAACAGACCTGAGTAGAACAAACTGAATGATATCAGAGGATTGTCTAGAGACTGCTCACATTGTGCTCTCTCTAATGTTCGATTGAGAGATTTCCATTCAATGGCAAGTTCTGGTTGAACTGTGTAGGAAATAAATCCCACTATTAGAAGTCAAAAGTGCCCCATAACTAATCATTGGACAAATACTTGAAGCCCAGATATTTAAACACTAGGCTATATCACATTATATCAAATAAAGTAGTCTGGATATTTCATGCGCAAGAGGCTCTTTCCATGAATTCTGCATGACTGCTTACGGCTGCATCGCTTTACACAAGGGAAAGAGGTAGAGATGGGCTCCCCCAATTTGCATTTCTCATCAGGGTCAGAACTGCATTAACATGCAGTAAATCTCTGATGTTGCTTTTGGTTCATAATAAAATGCATGAAACAGCAGTGAAGATATTGAATACTAAAACATCATTACAGCCACATTAGCCAATGCCACCAGAGAGACACTGCTGATGAGAAATAACACTGCAGGATGGAAATTATAATAATGGATCAAGAAGAGGTGCTGACAGTGTACCCTCTCCTCTTTCGGTTCCTGAAGGTCATTGCTGCCCTCAGACCCATTTTGATATGCAACATCAGTTTTATGTGCCGTTTCGGCATTGTGACAGCATACATGTGATTGATGTGATCCACATGCTAGCTTTTAAAACTCATCCGTTTGCATAAATGTTTCTCAGATTAAAAGGTTAGTTCACCCAAAAATGAAAATTCTGTCATGAATTCCTCACCCTCATGTCGTTCCAAACCCGTAAGACATCTTCGGAACGCAAATGAAGGTCTTTTTGATGAAATCTGAGAGATTTCTATTCCTCCATAGACAGTTACGTAACAAACTTTGACACTTCAAAAAGTTCATAAAGAGATTGTAAAACCTATAAGAGACCAGTTCAAAAGAGACTCTTGCATTATATGATGAAGAGATTTAATTTAGTCTTTTATTCACATTTAAACATTGATCAGCGAACAGAAACAGAAACTCAACCGATACTGCTTGATGCTGAAAACAAACCTCATTGGTTCTCGCAGAAGTTCAGACGTGCTGCATAACATGAGAATAAACCTCATTGGTTCTTGCTGAAGCTCAAACGTGCTGCGTAACGCACGAGAACGAACCTCATTGGTTCTCGCAGAAGTTCAGACGTGCTGCATAACATGAGAATAAACCTCATTGGTTCTTGAGGAAGCTCAAACATGCGTAACACGAGAATGAACCTCAGTGTTTTTTGCGGAAGCTCAAACGTAACACGAGAATGAACCTCATTGGTTCTTGAGGAAGCTCAAGTGCTATGAACCTCATTGTTTACTGTTTAAAGTAATTCAACATGTCTGACTCAAAAGAGCGATTCGTTCTTCAATCGCACATCGGTATTTGACGCGGCATGTGGCACAGCAGTCAGCAGACATGATGTAGGCTATAACATATTTGATCTAAATTATGCATTTTATGTAAACTGAAATTTGTAAAGGCTAGTTGCTTTTTAATTTTATGATTAAAATAGTCATATAGGGGCCTACTTAATTTCATAAATTATTGTTAATGTTTAATCCTTAATTTGTATTTTGTGAAATTAAGCCTATTAGGCTATCCCCCATATAGGGTATAAATAACGTATTTGTCTTGAAAACATTTGTAGTAAACCTGATATTTTTTCACCATGGCTGCTGGAGACACCGTAGGCTACTTCGTTTCTACTCTCCCACAGAAAACCGAAATGAATTGACTTTGACAAGGGACTTTGAGAGAGAGAGCGCGCGCGGCAGCCAGGCGGAGTCTTTGGAAACACAGCATATTGTCAGACCAGCCCCTGGGCGGAGGATCTGGAGATTGATGCCTCTGCTAGCGCTTTCCCACTCCGTTTTAACACACTCGGTTAAGTCCCGGGCGGAGACGTGCATGTGCTCGGGCAGTAAGTGGACTGTAGACGCCAGAGTTAAAGACTTCAGGGACGCTCGACTCAGGACAGGATAGAAGCAAACAGACAGCATACGCCACATTTTTTCGTGTTTTATGCTCTTTAGTTCTTGAAAACAAGTGGAATCGGAAACAGTGAACGACACAGACATGTAAGATATCTATTGCATGCTTAAATCAGTTTCTGACTCACTTTTGGACTCTGGTTCTACATGACAGCTCGACAAAATGTTTTACTTTATGTTTACATCCCACATGGTTATGGATAGATGACTCATAATGTGTCCATTAACTTTTCTTTTATCAACATCAAGATTTTAGGTCAAAATGTATATGAACGCATGCCATGAGGAAAGTGTATATTATGTTCTTTACCATTTTAAATCTCTTAATTACGCTCGTTTTTTAAGTAATTTTAAATGGCCCTGACGTGTGACATATTTCAAAACTACAAATATCACATGTAGTCTCTCCATTAATATTAAGTCATAAAATGTATAATGCTAATAAAATGAGCAAAATTCCGTTTTAAATGATTTTAGATGGAGTACAGTATATGTTATACTATATGCAACATCCTAAAAATATTTAATGTCAGCAACTAATGTAATATTATTAGGTGTGAAAATGTCAATTGTAAACACACTCTTCATTCTATTTAAATACCATAATCCAGAGTTTTGAGTCTTAAAAGTATTTTGTTGCCTGGATATTGTATTTTGTCTTATTGGTGACATTTTATTCAACAATGCATTTAATAGTTTAGGTCTGTTCATTGGTCTCTCGTATAGAAAACTACCTCAGAAATTTTTGTAATGAGTAGTAATCATGCATGACTGGAAAAGTCAATCAAAAATCTATAATTTCCTGGGTTCTCAGAAGTGGAAGTCGTCATAGTTGGGTAAACTTCTATAATGGTAAATGGGGGATGACAGCAAATATATTTTTTGATATTCCCATTTGCTTCAATAGCAAATGAAAAAATCCATGATAGTGTTTCCATGACTCCAAAAGATAGAAAAATATAGAGAGATTGATTACAGCAGTCTGAACAGAGAAAATTATGTAAAATTTGCCATTATACTTCCTGAGCTACTGTACAGTAGAAGCACCCTAGCAGCAGTGTTAATTAGTTTTTTGTAATTTACTGTCGGGGTAATATAACACAAAGTAGGCCTATAGTGTTAAAAATGTATGTTAAAATTTGTAAAAATTAAAGCATGAAAAACTTTACTACAGTTGCGATGTTGATAACTGTGGAAACGCATCATCACAGTCTCTGAAAAGGGTCCATTGAACAAAATATTTGGGTGACAAACAGGCAAAGTTTTTTTTATGTTTACCTATGTTTAATGCACATGAAAGTGAACAGGTTTCAGTAACCTTTATGCAATTTGAAGAGCTTAGTTGTCACCTTGGATTTATGACTTATTACTGATGTTCCCACACTTTTTACTATTTCCTCAGGTGTAACCGAGCAGGAAGACATCGGGAGGATCTGGGCCGGTGGGCTTAGGAGCTCTGCATGTGCACAACCTAAAATCCAGTGTTTTTTGCATCTGAAAGCTTTTAGTTTGAGCTGAGCACAATGGCATCCAGTCTTACATGTGCAGGTGTGGTATGGGCCCTATTGTCCTTCCTTTGTGCAGCCACATCTTGCGTAGGCTTCTTCATGCCATACTGGCTACTTGGGTCACAGATGGGTAAGCCAGTGTCATTTGGAACATTCCGGCGCTGTTCCTACCCCGTAAGGGATGAAGCTCGTGGTGGGACGGTTATGTTGGAGCAATGTGGGCGCTATGCCTCCTTCCAGGGCATCCCGAGTCTGGAGTGGAGGATCTGCACGGTGGTGACGGGGACAGGCTGCGGACTGCTGCTCCTGGTGGCTCTCACAGCAATGATGGGATGCTGTGTTACGGATCTAATCTCTCGCACCATTGGACGAGTGGCAGGAGGGATACAGTTCGTGGGAGGTGAGTCCAATTACAAGGACCTTGACTGGAGATTCAATGCATGGGTAAATGGTTGGATGAATGGATGTATAGTTGGCTGAATGAGACTGAACTGAGATATGAAAATTTTGATAGACAGCTAGATGAATAATTGAATGGACAATTGTCATTTTAAGTGGTTATAGATTGACATACTGGCCATGATGATAACTCTGCCGATATTTATTTTGAGTTTATCGTCCTGTAATATAAATAAAATGTAATTAAATTAAATGATACAAAATAGCCTAACATTTGCTTATATAATATAATATAAGTATTATAAAAAAATGGTCTAATTTCAGATTTATACCAATATCGGATTTATATCGGCCACCCCACTTTCCGGTTAATTGGTATCGGCATTGGCCGGCTACTAGTTTTCTGTGCATTTATTGGTTTTATGCATAGATGGGTTGTTACTATAATGAATGAATATTTTGATAAATGGATAGTCAGATGAAACACTGCAACTTTGCAAACACACACTTCCATTTGCTGTCTTCCTAGACGCAAGTACTTAGCAACTCCTTAGCGGGAACACATGACGACGACCGCATCCTCTTAGTGAAACTCGGTGTGCTTGTTTTGACATTCGCTTGCTACGATTCGTGTCATCCTGTGAAGAGAGGAGCCTGTGACCTCTTGCTGATTTGGCCAAAGACACCAAACTTACATCCTGGTGAAAATCAGTTTGAGTTTGTTTGTTAACCGAACAAATGGTGAAAAGCAAACAAGAGTTTCCTTTCATGTCTTTAGTACTGTTTAGACGGGATTGGTTTGCCAAGCGACGATTGAGTTACAATTGTTAACACAGAATGTCTTATGATTTCATGTACTGATTTCGGACGGGGTGTGGGCATATTATGGACAATTTGGCAAATTATAAAATAAGTTACATGCGTTATGTGTATGATTAAAAGCATGGTTCATCCCAAAAAATTTATTCTCTCATCATTTACTCACAAGATATTTTGATGTCTTATGTCGTAGTGTTCTTACTTTTGTCCATACAATCATGTCCATAGACTTTCATTTTATGAAATAAACATCCTTCAAAAGTCGTACAGGTTTGGGCCGACACGAGGATGAGTAAACGTTAATAGAATTGACATTTGTTTGGTGAACTGTCCCTTTAAGAAAAGGAAGTCATTAAAGTAAGAATCATACCTGATTTTTACAGTGGCCTTCCTGATCAGTTTGTGATTGGACTTTCTGTATTGCTTTTCTTTTTATATCGAATGCAATACCAGCAGTACTTGAACCGCCAACTGTTATTTTACCCAGATGGCAAGCTGAAGTCAGCCGAAAGGTCTAAATCCATCATGAAGTGCACCAAGCAGTGAAACGAGAAATTTTAGCTTTAGTCATGGCATTCACCAAAGGTCAAAGTAAATGAGGAGAAGCGTTGTGAAAAATAATATACCGTAATCGCACACATTCCTCTCCGGATGGGATTCAATTTCTCACAGGACCCCAGCGTTAGCTGAGAAACTTAAATTGCTCAGTAATTTATACAGAGGTTATATGAGGGGGGGAACAGACTTGTTCAAACGTCTGTGAAGCACAAATTTACCTGACCTCCTTGGGGAAAACTAGTCAAATATGGCCAAAGGCCAAATAAGCTTTTAATGGTCAAGAAAATGGATGTGCCTTGCAAATGCAGTCTTGCTCACACACACAGGCAGAAAAAGAGCAGGTTACACAGCATAAATTGGCTCTTGTAACTGTCCTTTTTACGAGATCTTTATATATGTGAGGCAGTAACAGATCTTCTTATGAAGCGATTGGCCCTGTAATGAGCAGTATATGAGGGGAGTCGGGCCCCTCACTGGCCTTTATGACTTGCATCACCCTTGCTTCTTCTTTTGACTTGCCTCAGAGCAGTGACTTTGCTCCATTTCAGTGAGATGGGAAATAATGAAGGTTGATTATACGTGACCTCTCTATGAGGGACCGTAGGCAACACTGTTCTCTCTTTCATATCCCTTTCTCCTTTGTGCTCTCTTTACTTTTCCACACACACACTTTGATACGTACACCTGCTTGCTTTGTGATGTTTTATTCATGGGCAACTAAATATTTCCTGTTTGCAGTTTTTCCCTGTCATAGAAAGTTGTGGCTTTGCTTTGGTTTTTTTTTTTTATCACTTGATACAGTAAGGGCGATAGAGACTTGCTAATTCTGGGACAGATGCCAGATGCCATATTGGTGTCACATCTTCAGTTTGCCCTTTTTCAGGTGGGAATATTATTCATTAATAGGTCGAACTTGTGAAGTCTATTGTTTAACGTTCCTGCATCATGTTGGATTTCCTCTCACACCCACGTCTCGCTTCACAGCACCCGTTGCGCGTTTGCATACGTCACGCACACCCTCCCGAAAGACAGTTGGCTCAGTCATGTTTTATACACTGAATTTACCATAGGATTTATGGGCTCCGTCTAAATACTGTCAGGATCCTGTCCAGTAGAACACAAGACCTTGAAATGAGTCTTATTCGCTTGAGAGATCTGCCGATATGACTCAGTTGGTCTGGTTGTTTTCTCAATTACTCTTTAATGTCTTCTGATCACATTAGTGAAATACTGAGGAGGACATATCCTTTCAGAACAACCAGTTCCTGGGAGATGTTTCACACTTTGCTGTAATGACAATGCCTGATGAGTCTGTTACATTTTGCGAATGCAAACATTTTTTGAATTTCTCCCATGCTTTTCCTCCCTTATGCAATGCCTTACTGTCTCTATCAAAGGTCTTTTTTTCTCTCATTTTCTTTCCTCATCTCTAACCTTTTTCTCTTAACTGTTGAAGTATTTTCTGCACTATATGCATTTCACAGTTGAAGATGAAAAATAATGCATTCATTGAACCATATCTATGCCCACTAGAGTCGGTATAACTTAACCCCCTTTCATTTTCTGCAGCGGTTGCAGGCAAGACTCTAAAAGGGTTTAACATAAAAAAATATACAAAAAGAGGTATTGAAGACGGAGTAATGATGCTGAAAATTCAGCTTTGCCATCACAGGGATAAATTACTTTTTTATTTTTTATTTGTAATAATATTTCACAATGTTACTTTTTTACTGTATTTTTGAACAAATAATTGCATCCTTGTTGTTGAGCATAAGAGTCTTCTTTCAAAAAAAATCTTACCGACCTATTTGCATGTATGTCCTCTATAATATAATTGTGAATTCCTCACATTCAGTTCAAGTGACAGAAATGATGCCAACTCATGTCCAGCTGTGACTCAGAATATCACAATCGTTCTGTTTTTGTGGCCCCTTCACTCCATAGATCACGTCATTGTATTTACAGTGGGGAAATCGTATACAACCTTACCCTGAGGAAAGCACAAATAGGTCAGGTGGCAAAAACTCTGTGTACAAGTGCTCAAGTGAGCTTTGAGACGTGACGGTTCAGTAATCCAGGCGGCAGCAGTTGTCTTACTGTAATCTTTCACTTCTTGAACTGTAAACTTTCAACGAATACCAACAGAGTCAATGCAGCTTGTGCATGTATGTTGTCTTTCAATTTTTAATGTTCAATATTCTCAGAGTTTAAAAACTGCAAAACAATTTGGTGTTTTACTCTTATCTTTAAGTCATTAAGCAGGATAAGCATGAAAATAATCATTAACTTTTCCAGAGTTGTCCTTGACTTTACGTCCGGTCACATTGGACTGCAGGGTTTGCCTCCTGATTTCCCTCTGTTAGCTCAGATGTCAAATATGTCACGTTTGTGTGCTGTGTAAATCTCTCTCGTTTAAATCTAGATTGGCAATATTTAATTAGTCACGCTGGAATGTTTCTAATTGGGGATACGACCGGGTGTTGAGAACGGCTGATTTTCGTGTACATTTGTCTGGGTGAATGGAAGCGTGTGCGCTTGAGCGACGTGCCGTGTGTATTTGTAGTTGTTTGAGAACAGGCCTAGCTGAGGGTGTAAAACGCTGGTTTTAGCTGACCCGTGCCGACCCCTGGGCGCTTGGAAAGAGACGGATGGAGAGAAGAGAGGGCGTCGGGGTGGTGTGAATGGGAAAGACAGGCGGGATCCAGCTGATGGAGACAGCTGCAGCAGCAGGAAGAGACTTACTGGCTCCAGTACAACGAGAAGACTGGTGCACATCTCTCACTATGTCTCACTGTCAGTTTCTCCACTGTCTGTCAATCCGTCTGGAAATTCCGTCGACTCATTGGAATGTATTTGGAATGTTGCTGGAAAATAGGAGAAAATAAGTCTGAGAGAGTGACACTTAGTGAACTGAACGGGGCAGAGGTAAAGAAAACCTGTTTCTGTCCTTCACGGAAATCAATGACAGTTGTAACAGATATTGTCTTGTAAACTTGACACCAATGGGTGTAGCCCATTATGAATGCAGGATGAATCAGGATGAACAACAATAACTAATATTTTAGAATTTACATTTTCTTTGCACATAGGGCCTACTGATTAAAATGTGAAAAATCATTTCTTATTTCTACTGAAAAAAATGGAAATTTTACTTAATTGTCACGAAAAAATATATAAAAAAAATGAAAATGTAAATCATTTATTTTTTATATCCAAAATTGATTTTCCTATTTATTTATTTTGATTTCTGTAGTGACTTTTTCTTGACAGATTTGGTTAGATTCACCCTAGTGCCTTCCAAATTATAGAACGTTATAGAAAATAAAATTCCAGAAGATGCCTGTATGATGTACTAGTGTGCATCCATGCGTGCAAATATGGCTTGGTACCCTTTGTGCTATGAAAGAGATGTTTGTAATTATTCCCTTTCAACCTCTTTTATTGAAGTCAATGGGATAATGAAAAAATTAAAGGCAGAAACTACCACAGCTTCTTTTAAAATGCATGAATTTAAACGTTAAGTTGTAATGAATTTAGATGCTAGCAGTACAACTTAATATCAACAGTGTTGAGGGTAACGCGAGTTAAGTAATCAGATTGCTTTTTTCAAGTAACGCATTGTAA